TTTATTTTTTTAAAAAATATATCTTTATTGATTTCAGAGACAGGAAAGGAGAGGGAGAGAGAGAGATAGAAACATCAATGATGAGAGAGTCATTGATAGAGCCCGCAACCCGGGCATGTGCCCTGACAAGGAATCAAACCCTGATCGCCTGGATCCCAGGTCGATGCTCAACCGCTGAGCCACGCCAGGCTGGGCAAAGGTTTTAAAAGAGGATAGAGACTGGTGGGTTCCAGAGGCAGAAGAGAGCACCTGCCTGGAGCACAGTGAATAAAAGGAGGGAGAACAAAAAGGGACAGCACTGAAGCAGGCAGCCCTGATCCTGAAGGGTCTCCGGCCCCTGATAAGGAATCTGAGCCACAAGTATAGGTCAGTGTTTTCCAACCCTGGCTGCTTATTAAAATAATCTGGGAAACTATTTTTAAAGATTCCTAAACTCTATACTGATTCAGAATCTGTGGGGGAAGATACAGGATATGAGTTTTTCAAAAGTTTCTTAAATGATCCAAAAGCAGATGGACCATGGATGAATATTTGAAAACTACTGCTGGGTAATGAGAAGCATCTAAAAGATTTTAAGGTAAAGGAAAACACACTTCAAACACTGCATTTTAGAACACTGCCATGGGGTGATAAGGAGTTCACTTCAGGAGGCACAAAGGTCACTCTGGGGATTGTTCAATGTCTCAAGAGAGAATAAGGATTTGAATCTTAAGTATTACAGTAGAGACAGAAAAAATAGGATAAATCTGAGAGATAATAAAGATGTAGTTTTTGACTAGAAATTGGTACAATTAAATGAAAAATTGTACCAAAATAAGAGGATATAGTAGGTTATATAGAAGTTAAGGGATGTTAGAATGTGGAGTTTGAGGATAACCAGTTGAATTCAGTAGACATTATAATTTAAAGCCTGGTACTGACAGCAAAAGCTGAGCTCCAGAAATACACTGTAGAACCATTAGTTAACGTAAGGTAGATGGAACTACAAACATAGATGAAAGACTGCCAAGTTAAAAGAATAAAGAATGAGAAGAAAAGAAACCTAAGAACAGAATTATAGAAAATGCAACATTTAAAGTATGAGCAAAAATAAAATTGTTTAAGAAAGAAACAGAGTAATAGCCTGAGAGGTAGGAGGAAATTATGAGAAAGAGGTATCACAGAAACCAAAGGAGAAGAGCACTTTAAGGTGGAAGTGGCTGATGACACGAGCTAGAAGGGCTGAGAAGTGCCCATTAACATAAAAAATTAGGAGGTCACTACTGAGTAGAAGGGGCAGGAGCCTTCTGTAATGGGTTAAAGAGTAAATGGAATATGAAACAATGAAGCAATCTTTGAAGAAGCTTGAGGAAGTCACAGACCAAGAACTAGAAGGGCAAGATTTGGTAGACTGATGAGAACTGTATCTTAACAGTAAAAAAAAAAGCTTGTCCACTGACTGACTTAAAATATAAATACAATCCAGATTTATTTTAGTTAATAATTCCACATTCTCTTTTGCATCTGGGTTATCACACTGTTCTCTCATTCTTTGAGCTTTGTTGAAAAGAAAGAACAGGTGTAATGGAACAATAATTCACAATGGGTATAATACATGTTCAACACTTTACATGTATTTTACATGTTTGCAAAACTATAAATTGTAGAAGAATGAAAAGATAAAATGATGGTCAATTAGCAACTTACACTTTTCCTCAGCTTCACAGAAACAATTTAAAAAGTCATTTAAAAAGTATTTCTCTCTTATTATCATTTCTTCAAGATTCCACCTTCCTATCATGGAACACTTAAATGCAATGTCTCTGTTACAAAGACATTTCAACCACCTAAAAATAAAAGGTCATACTAGATTTAACTCCTCTTGGAATGCTCTTATAAAAATATCTTTATAATAAAGTTATACCAAAATACTACTTCTCTCTTGACACTAAAACCACGCTACTTTTAAAATGAAAAGAAACATATCAAATAAATTGTATACCCTTTTTTGGGCAACCAAAACACCAAGTTGGTAGCAAATTTTCTAGGATTCACCGATACATCTTCACTGCTTTACATATGAATTTGATGACTTCTTATCTCATATTTTATGGCATAATGTACTACTACTCTTCTATTTCAGATATATGCAATTAATGAAACTACTCAATAAATATGCACAAATTTTTGGAAGCATAGTGAAACTACAATTTAATTAGAATAGCAACTTCATCACCACTTAGAGAAATTGTGTGTTTTAAAAAAATTTAATTTGATTTTTGAGAGGGGGGGAGGAGAAAGAGAGAGAAACATGGATTTGCTGTGCCACTTATTTATGCATTCATTGGTTGATTCTTGTATGTGCCCTGACTGGGGATTGAACCCACAATCTTAGCGTATCAGGATGACACTATAACTGAGCAACCCAGCCAGGGAGCAACTGTTAAAATAATTTTTGTAATAACTAGTACAAACTGAGGTATCACTCCATGAGTACAGGGACCGTAGCTATTTGTTCTGGTACCTACCACCATACCTGGCAAATAGTGAAATGCTCAATCAATATTTGTGAATGAAAAAAATTAATAGAAATAATAGCTAAAAAACCATGCATAATAGGCAAGCATACTGTGCCAGGCATTATATTAAGTGTTTTACATGCATTTAATCCTCACAACTTAATGTATTATTTTTTCCCCCTATTTTTCAGATGTAAAAATAGAGGCTTAGTGAGGTTAAATACTTTGTCCAAGATCCCACAGCTGGAAAATGATGGAGCAGTTTGATTCTAGAGCCTCTGTTCTTAATCATTATGACATAATCTACTGAAATGGGTTTTAAAGACAAGTAACACCCTGTCAATAAACATTAAAACTAAAAGGGAAATAAAGGCTGTGACAAAGCACAGACAAGTACTAAAGTAGGCAGTAGAAATACAAGATAAATTAAGATCCATGCCCTCAAGGAGTTCACAGCCCAGATACGTAAACAAAAAATTATAGTATGATGAACTCTGTATTACAAATTGCTATGGATACACAGATTTGAAAATTTTGTTTATGAGGCTTTTCATGAGAGTTAAATCACTAGATTTTAAATGTTTAAGATGAGAATACCTACAAAGTCTGAAAGATGATTTAAGAATTAATAGTCTAGCCTGGCCAGGCGTGGCTCAGCGGTTGAGTATCGGTCAACCTAGGATCCAGGCGATCGGGGTTCAATTCCTGGTCAGGGCACATGCCCGGGTTGCAGGCTTGATCTCTGGTCCAGGGCCTGTAGGAGGCAGCCGATCAATGACTCTCTCATCATTGATGTTTCTATCTCTCTCTCTCCCTCTCCTTTCCTCTCTCTGAAATCAATAAAGGCATATTTTTTAAAAAAAATTAACAGTCTAGAGGGCTAGATAAAGGTTAAAAGGTGGGTTAACAGAGAAAGACAAGTATCACATGATCTCACTCATATGTGGAATCTAAAGAACAAACTAACTGATGAACAAAATAGATACAAAGACATGGAAGCATGGAACAGACTGACGAATCTCAGAGGAAAGGT